TCGCATATGTGATTGGTAAGAAACTAAGGTTTCTTAGTTTTGCACTAGGATGAAAATACTTTGTAATAGAATATTTACTTGCTAAATATTGATGAGTATGAGATGTTCACAATGTGGTAGAAATTGAAACACCAGCTTTGTTAGATCCTGATGACAGCTGTCATTTACATGACTCATTCTAGCCACTGTCCCAGGCACTGCGTCTGTAACATTGCTGATTCATTACAGCTCTGGATGTAGGGGTTATTATCCCAGGTTTTCCCCTTAGGAAACTGAGGATCAGAGGAGTTAAGAGATTTACCTTATGTCACACAGTATAATAACTGCCCACGTTGGGACTGGAGCTCACATGTGATTCAAACCTAAAATGTACCTACTTCCAAATACTGTGTCCTTTTCACTATCTGCACTGAAGTCTTAATATTTAAAAATGGACAGAGACAAATTCAGACTCACCCAAGCAGGTAAGGATCAAATAAAACAGCCATGCTTACTCTAGTTTAAAAAATTAAAAATCAATCTCATGTCAAAAAAAATTGGCCAACTGCTATCAGATTTTAAACTAGCTTGTGCCAATCCAAAATATTATGTGATAGAGAAGTCCAGTTAGCCTAGCTGTAGGCTACTGCAGTTTCCTAACTGATGGGCCTTGGCCCCTGGGGGTACCTGAATTGGGTAAAAGGGTCACTAAGATATTTAGACCCTCAGGGCAACGCAGTGCGAAGCAGGAGGCCGTGGCCCCAGGCAAGTCCGCCCCACTGCGCCATTCAAGGAGCACCCATTGCAGTGTGTGCTGGGCCTGAACAAAGTTGGGCAGCATGGTGTGAAGGGTGCTGATAGAGAAAATTCGTCTTTAAGTAGTTTTGGAGTAAGTATGAGAACTGATCTCTGCTCCTCATATCCCAATCCCAAATCATGACAATCCCATTGTCATGATTTACAACCCTGAAAGCCGGTTGATTTTTAATGTATTTTATAATTGACTTAAAAGGAACTCTCTGGTATTATTAATCACACACAGAGCATCAGGGGCCAAGTTTTTAAAATAGTTTGCTGTAAAATAAGCAGTAGAGATAAATCATAAGCCCCACTCTGCGTTCAAGTCTAACAGTATTCTGCCGTGGTCACTTTGAACTGTGTAGATAAGAAAATCGATACAAAAATGGATCTGCATTCAGCCTATGCACAGTTCTCTCTGATAGAGCAACCAGATGCCTTAGAGATTACGAGCAGTCATTAAAGTGTACTGAAGGAGATGAGCTTACTATCTAATACTAAGTGCAGTTTTTAAATGAAGGGGGAAAGTGAACTTTATTTTTTTTATTTAAATCCAGTTAGCCAATTTATAGTACATTAGTTTCAGATGCAGCGTTCAGTAAGTTATCAGTGATATACGACACCCAGTGCTCATCACCTCACGTGCCCTCCTTAATGCCTGTCACCCAAGAAGTGAACTTTCTGACCTTTGAGTGGTATTAATTGTTGTGATAGTCAGAACTTATTTGAATATATGCAGTGTCATTTCATATTTGAATGATGTTCAGAAAAATCCGTTGGAATTTTCATTCAGACACATAGTCTATTTTTAATTTCACATTCTTGTCTGTTCTATTTAGATTTGCTTGGAAAGTCTAAATATTTTTGCAAAAACCACAAAACACTACGTTACAAAGTATTATTTATTGAGTATAATTCACGAAGCAATCTATTTTTACTCCTCTTTGAGAAATACTTGTGTTTTTGATACATCTCCATTAAGTGCTTTTAACATGAGAGGATATTTTGATGTTTTTATGGGACTGTAAAGGTAACAGGTACAGTATTTTAGGACACTTTGCAGGTAGCCTTTGCCTTTTCATTGAGATGTAGACCTGGAAAACTCACAGGAAATGAGATCAGGAACAAACCGTCTATTTCACTTGCGATCTACTTTGCATAATGGTAAAACTTCAGCTCCTCGTTCTCACCACCAGATGGTATTTTTCAAAACCCGAAATGTTAACTTTGCCTCTTTCTCCTGGTTGTTCATCCCCTGCCTTGAGCACTGATAGGACAAGAAGCAGACTCGGGGAAAGTAGATAGACAAAGACAGGCTCCCAGGAGAGGGGGGTAGATTCTTGCTTGTGTAAATAACCGCATTACTTCAGAGAGAGGTCGCAATGACGAGGGAGACAAATGAAATAAAAGCAAAGTATTTCAGAAACCGTCCAACAGGCAGCTGGGAAAATGCAAAACAACACAAGGGGGGACTGTCTATATATGGTCTGCAAGATTTAAATATATCCTTATTTGTATTCTTTGTGTGTTATGACAAAAATGAAATAAATTTTGTGTGATAGTTCTAATGATGAAAGGTGGAAGTTCTACCTAGCTTTGAAAGAATTTTTTTTAAAGAGGATAAGAACATTATGGTGCTTAACTTGATGAAAAAGAGACCATTGAAATGCTGATATTTTTAGTAGTCTTTTAAAAAGTGTTGAGGGGGCAAAGACTACAAATTATGCCATATAAAAATAAACCTCTAACTGTTTTGGATTGCTAACCTGAGTTTCAGTTAATTCAGTTTGTAATTACTATTAATGATCTCTCTTTACAATAAAGATTCTGTAAATTGCTGTTGATTTTTTAATGATTAAAACTCTGGCGGGTTTCTGCTGAATCATACAAACATGATAGATTTAACTATACCTTGAGTATACTTAAATACATTGGTGTTTACGTAATCCGTCTGGAATCCTAGAGCTCATCATTCGAAGCTGTATGGTTGCTATTTGGATAGTCCTACCCTCTGTGCATTGCAGACTGTCTCTCTCTAGTCTCTTCCCTCCGTGTCCAAGGGGAATGTGCACACTGTCACTGTGGCAAGAGGCCAGAACCTGGAAGACGAAAGGGCGAAGGTTTCCAGGGGCAGGGAGCCTCCAAGGGCAGATGGGTGGAGCTTTAAACGCTCAGGTCTAAATCCCCACCCACCTGGCTGTATCCAGACAGAGACCCATTTGAAAACCACCCAAAGACCAGAAGGTATGCCTTAGAAACTGTTACTGTTGTTGTGTTCTTTCTATACCTTATCAAACATGCCTTCTGCTTTCTTCCAATTGTTTTAACTTCCCTTTTATAGAAGAATGGCCTCTTGGTTTCTGTTGTACTTTCTGTTTTTTTCTAGAGCCTTCCTATCTCACTCTCTGACACACACACCTCCAATATCTCAGCTTCCTCATACTTAGGCTTGAATGTGTCCATTTAAAGACTGACATTTTACCTAATTGTTTTCCAGTTTCCTTAGAAAGTTTTTCTAGAGTTCTCAGGAGTTCTTTACCTATTACATGAAAGTCTGTATATAATACACATAATTTTTCTTTACAAATCAGTGTTTCATTTTAAGACATAAAGTTATCTAGCTTTTTGAACTCAAATTTATTAGTTAACATATAAACCTCAACTTAAAAAGAACCAGGTCAGTGAAAATTTTTAACATGCCCCCATAAGTATTTGTCAATCATATGTTTCTCTTCAGTACTGCAGAGTAAGGTGCCTGTGAATGACCGTGTTTTGGGATTGTTCATATTGTTACATTCACAAGGTCTACAATTGTATTTACAATGATTGCAGCTTTGAATATAGAGACATATCTTTCTGGCTGGACAAGTTAATTCAATGTCTGGTATTGTGTAAGAAGTACGTTATCAAAATAAATCACTGCTCTATGCTGTAGGGCACCGTTACGGTTCGTTGACACGTGTACCTCGATTTAGGTGCCCTTTAAAATGTAGGAGAGTTGACCTTGTATAAAACCAAAGTTTAAAAGTTACATGTTTCATTTCATTCACTCCGTGCACTTATTTATCCAAACGGCACAGCCTTGGGACAGACTACAGACTATTGAAAATATAAAACATGGGGAGAAGGGAGAGGAATTATATATATATGTAGTTCTTCTAGTCATAAAAAAAAAATTAAGAGTCTCTTGTGAATGGATCTCTCTCTCTCTCTCTCTCTTTCTTTCTCTCTCTCTCTCTCTAAATACACACATATATATTTGGAAATATGTGAAATATATATATTTGGAAAACACGGCCCTTCTGGGAACTTACAGTCTTTTGGGGAGTTTACTATCCATTTTCTTTGAAAATTTTTGTGTATACACATTTAGCCATTGTAGATACTTTAAAATTTTCAATTGCTTCTCAAACTTTGATGAAAATGAGACTTGATATTTATGTATCTCATTAAATCCTGATGGTGCTGATGCAGACCATCATTTTTAAAACCCATTTTGCTTATGTTGTGTCTAAATAATTTCAAAATTTTTAAAGTCACAAAAAATGTAAATTTTTTAATTTTTTAAAAAATCAAGAGTCTCCTTTGAATTGAACTTGCCCTTCATATAGTTCATAGTTTAGTGTAACTGGATGGCTTGTCACTCACATAATAAACCACATAGCTGATTACAGGTTGTAGATAAGCATAATAGACTTTGCTCAGTACTAATGACCAGCAAAAAAACAGAAGTCTTTAATCTTGGTAGGTTTTCCTCCAAAGCAGACTGCACGGTGAGTGTTCTTGGAATAACAGAGGTGAGGCCCAAGTGAATATTTTCTAGAAAATCAGGGGAGTTATTTATTTAAATTGTGACATAAATGTAATTGCTTACTATGGCTTTACCATTTTGTTAAAGCCTTAGAGAGAGAGAGAGAAGTCGAGCATGTGTGTGGTTGGGGGTGGGGAGGAGGGAGAGGAAGAAGCAGACTCCGGGCTGGGATTGGGACCTGAGCCTAAGGCAGACACTTAACCGATTGAGCTACCCAGGCACCCCACAGCTTTACCATTTTTTAAGCTACATTTTAATGCCCCAAGTTTTAAGAAATCAAATGCACTTAAATTGGCAATCAAGGCAAAATAATTTTCCTAAACCTTAAATTGAAAATTGAATTTTCTGCTTCTTCGATGTTAATTGTCACATACGTTATTTTGAATAAGTCCATTCATTTTTCTTTCTCTAGGCATTATGAAAATCCTACATTTCCGAGTCCTAACAATGCTAACAGGTCTTCATTTTACTGGAACAATGACAGGCCCATCCAGAAAAGGCAGTATCTTATTCAGTCTGGAGTGCCGATGGAATGGACATCTGACAAACTGTTCTTTTACTGCAAGGCGTGATACCCGTGCGGACATGCCCCAGCCAGCGGCCACGCTGGATGCAAGTGCCGGTTTCCTTAGGGATCTCGTACAGTCTCGCGTGAGAAAAGACTGGAATATAAAACATCTGGACCTCAGTAACAATCACATTTCGAACATCAGCTTAAGCCCTCTTGCCCACTTCCACACTTTGGAAATACTAAACCTCAGCAACAGTTCCATCCGCTCGCTCTCTCTGGATCTACCCAGTGCCAAGTCCTCGTGGGGGAAACGCCACAGAAGCAGCAGCAGGCATAGGCTTCCATTTCTAAAGTTGTTAATTCTTCAAAGAAACAAACTCACTGACATTCCCAAGGGTAAGTACGATTTTAAGAGATGGGCTAGCCCAAGAAACAAGGAGATGTTTTATGCCTGTAAGAATTCCATGTTTGTTGTCAGTTTTGAGGAAATTGCTAAAAGTAAAGCAGTTTCATCAGGACAGATAAATGAGTTTCTTAGCGGAATTTCAAGTTAAAATATGTGGAATTCATAGCCAATGCAATTGAATCTCTCATCATTATAACTTACATTAATGTAATAGAGCTTTGTTGAGAGAGACTAGGAAGTATTTGAGTGCTAAATAATCATGACTTCAGATTATCTACATTGATTATCATATATTTGTTACTAAATATAGAAAGTACTAAGAAATAACTAGTTTATATGTTTTCAGTGTATAGCACAATTCCAATTAAGTATGTTGCCATATTTATAATTTTTGTTTTCTTAGAATACGTTTTACATCTGCTTGTCCAATTGTCCTCCAAGTGTAGACGAGAAATATGCTAATGTTGTATGATCACTATGTAAACTTTCTTATTGTCAAATCAAAATCAGAATTCTTTATCCTGGTTTCTGACAGGATACTCCACATATCCTGTTGTTTAATAAATTCTCATGGCTTCTGGCATTCAGTAATCCACATGCTGGACCTCCTTAACTAATCACCAATATTTTATTAAGAAAAGATATCAGGGGGCGCCTGGGTGGCTCAGTGGGTTGAAGCCTCTGCCTTCGGATCAGGTCATGATCCCAGGGTCCTGGGGGAGCCTGCTTCCCTCCTCTCCTTCTGCCTGCCTCTCTGCCTACTTGTGGTCTCTGTCTGTCAAATAAATAAACAAAATCTTTAAAAAAAAAAAAAAAGAAAGAAAAAAGAAAAAAATATATCAGATTCATAATCAGATTCATAATCTGCAACTTCCTTTGCCTTTTTTAATATCCAGGAGTGCTAGACAATTTCCTTTCCTTGTTTGTTTTTAGTCTTGGTCACTATTTGCCAAGTACTTACCTTATATAAGACATTCTGCTAAAAAAAGAAAATGTAAGGATATTGTCTTTTTTTTCTCCATCCCAAGTTATGCATATTTAGTTTTTTTTATTTTCCATTCTTTCCTTTCATATTTTATTGTTTTGCTTTTTCCCCAGCTTTTGGTCTTGTTTGAAGCATCATTTTGGCAATAGCCTGCCAGGTGAAGGAATGACTATCCCAGTCATCAGATCAACAGAATTATGTGGGAAAGGGAAGCGTCTTCCCTCCCTAAGCTTTTTCATAAAAGCAATGTGCAGGATTTTCAGTGTGAAGTATAAACTAATTGCACCTTATTTTATAATTTTTATTATATTCTTATTTTTAAAACCCTGCTATTTGTAGAACACTAGTAATTAAAAAAATTTTTAAAGGAGAAATCTTTTAAGTCCTTCATGTTATACAGTTGACCTTGGTACAGATCTACTTATATATGGATTTCTTTTTGTAAGTACCACAGAACACTGTAAATATATTTTCTCTTCCTTACAATTTTCTTAATAACATCTACAGCATATAATACATACAACATACAACGTATTTGTTAATTGACTTTGTTATGGGCAAGGCTTCCAGTCAAAAGCAGGCTTTAAGTAGTTAGGGGGAGCTAAAGTTATATGTAAATTTTTTACTGTGCAGGGGATCAGCACCCCTCAATCCTGTGTTGTTCAAGGATCAACTGTATATATTCTTTAAGTCTATTCCTCATGCCTATGTACATATTTTTCTTTCAAAATTGGATCATACTTTCCATAATATTTCATAATTTGTATTTTCATGTCACAGTCCATTTTGAACGTCTTTCTATAATTAAGCAATCTCATAAATAGTATTTTATATTATTGAATAGCTTTGATATATACATATGTTATAACTGGGTTAATCAAACAACATTTAGACTACTGCCATTTTTTTGCTATAACTCTATGACGATCATGATGGTAGCTACACATATGCATATGATATAATTTTAACTAGTATGGTAGATGTGAATTTCAACCCATAAGTTCAAGTGTACTAGAGATATAACCTTCTGTTGCCTATACCCCAACATAATTTCTGATTCTGAGCTCGCATTCTAGTAGACTCAGTTGGGGATGGGGTGTGAGATACTTGTACTTAATATCAGTCTTCCATGAGCTTTCCTCTGCTTTTCCCCAAATTTGTACCACAGCTGTAGAATCTTATACCCTGACAAGGCATCAAAGTGTGCATGTGCATGTGTCTGTGTGTGTGTGGGCACGTGCACACATGCATGTCTGTGTGTGTGTCGCTCTCCATCTATGTGTGTCCCTTACCAACCCTGCCAGCCGGAGAAAATTTCAGTTTTTTCAGTTCGAAGAAAATTCTTCACATTTTTTTGTTTCTTCAAAACCCTCTGTCTAGACCTAGAAATTCGTTTCGTCTAAAGGTTTAGGCGTTTGGAAACAAAAGCCAGAAAGACTTGTAGACTCCTCTGTTTTCTGCCTTGCCCTGTGCCTCCCCTGGGGTAGTTAACACAGAGCCTACTTTCTGGTTGAATGGGGAGAAATGGAAAAAGAGACATGGAGATAAAAAAGTAATATGTCAAAATATTATCCCACCACTTATCTCCCTAAGGCAGATGTATTCCCCAGAGCTAATTGGAGGTCAGAGGGACTACAATACCATTTAAGGACCAAACACCCCTAACCTATAAAATGCATATACAACCCCATCTTTCTTTTCCAAGTTGAACTTCTGCCTCCCCAAAAGATCAGAAAAAATGTTACACTTACAAAGGAGAAGAAAAGGTGATGAGCCAGTCATGTATCTGAAACTCTATTAGAACTCTAGCAGATGAAACCGTAGAGAGATGAAGAAACCAGTTGATGGTGGGAGGCCAATGTAAGCTCTGAATCTAACTGGATATAATTCAGAGTTCTTTTATCCATAGCATTTTGTGATTTGAATTATTTTCCTCTAATCGCCACATCCTTCAGTTGAGCCCCCCTGTAACATCCCTTTGCCATTCTACGATTCTGTGACCGTGGCTCAGTCACCCTGACTTTGAAATCCCATTTTGGAGGGGGAAAGCTGGTAAAAGAAAGGGAGGTGCTGCCTGGAGTACCATTCTATTTCTGACCCTCCCTTTGTTCTTTGATTCCTTTGTTCTAAGCCTGTGTAAAGGCAGCATCTGGGGGCCCCTGGCTGGCTCAGTTGGTACAGCATGCTGCTCATGATCTTGGGGCTGTGAGTTTGAGCCCCACATTGGGGGTACAGTTTACTTAAAAAAATTTTTTGTTACAAAGGTAATATATTGATAATATAATATTTACTCATAGAATTGTAGTGAGGATTCAAGGAAAAATATTTCAAGAACCTACTGTAACATGGCATTTGGCATAGTAAATGGTAGCTATTAAAATGTGGGAAAAGTACTTTGTATACGTGTAAAGTACTTTGCAAATATTAGTTATTTCTTCTGTCTTGATAGAAACTGAGGATAACAGTCTATTTAGAAACAAATTATCAATTCAGTTTTGTCTAAATCTCAAGTTATCTTCTAAAATGTTCAATAGCTATTGCAGTGTGGAAGGCCTGGCCCACATAATTCATGAGCTGAGACTCATTTGTGTCTGCCTGTTTATAGAAGTGCTTGCATTCATCGAAAATAATAATAAATCAGAGATTCTCACAAAGTAGCAATCAAACAACCGGCCTTGTAACACGTGTGCTTTTATAAATACTGTCCCACATCTTCAAATGGTGACAGCTTACAGAAGCCATGAAAAGTCACTTTCACTCAGGAAGGCCCACCTTTGTAGGAGCGAAAGCTCACACTGACTCACCCAGACTCAACTGATCCCGTGTCATCAGAGTGAGCTGTGATGTCACCAACAAGCTTCACGCTGGGGTAACACCCAAGGCAACTGCCAGCCAATGCAATTTACAAAACAGTTAGCCGGCTCTGAATTTAAGCTTTCTGATTTGATTCCACCTTGCTCCCAGATCTTTGGAGTACAGTATTAATAGCAGAAAAATCAGTTTTCAAACAATGGGACCAATCTCCAGTTAAACTCTCCCACAAGCAGTATTATTGGAGTGCCCGTAGAGTACCTGGAAATGCAGAAGGACCAACATCTTCCTGGGATTCCAATTAGGTTGACAGACCAGATTTTTGACAGCCTGACATTTAACACATTAAGTTCTGGAACCCAAGAGATAAATGTGTTAAAATGAGACGAAATAATACCTGACTTTTGAAACTGGTGGAGGGAAAAAAAAACAAAAAAAAACAAAAAACAAAACAAAACAAAAAAAAAACATAACCAGTGTCTGGTAAAAACAAAAGTATGTTATAATCTATTTCATATTTCTTCCTGATTGCTGTTGAATTATGGAAATACCAATAAGCTGTATTCTCAAAACCGGGTCAGGTTCTAAAACAGCCATGTGAATGTATGTCAGTAAGCTGAGAGGGCCTGGTGTTTGGCTCACCTATACAAAACTGACCACATTGAGCGCTGACCTAATGAATAAAATATCTTGTCTAAGACCATTTCAGACTCTTTCAATTCTAAATACTCTTTGAACTTGAAGCCAGAACTCCCTGAATATCATTGTTCTATGTTATCAGATTATCACTCTTAGGAGAACATTTAAGGAGTTCATAGTCCAAAGGAACATTCCTAAGGCAATTTAGTGTCTGGGTGTACCCTCTATGGCCTTTCTTCTAAGAGACACTGAGACAATTTCTTAGAAATAATAAAAATGCCTCTGGCTGCTTAAATGCAAAAATTAATCAGATTCCTGCCTCCTATGGCTTATGTGATCGTCGGAAAACAGTTCAATAAATAGTTCCTTCCCCACAGAAGTGCCTCCATATTTTCCTCCCAATGTTCAACTCCCCTCTCTTGAAACATGGAATCTACCTTCCGATGCCCATGCCCCAGCTGTCACTGCCCCTTCCAACTTCTTTTGTTCACCTGAGTACCCCCTCAACATTGATTTGCCATGCAAAATTTTTAAAAGAACACATTTCCCCATTGA